CGGAGCCAGGATGAACGTCCAACTCCAATTGTCATTTATTGATTGTAACAAGGTAAAACTGGTGAGAAAACACAGATACAGCATCTGTTATAATCTGGAAACACCAACACAATGAACACCACAGCATCAGAACATTGTCTTAAATAACAATAGATCCTGGACGGACCAGGCCCCTACATTACCACTCAACAGCTAGACAAGAGTACAAGCCGGTGCGTTGCATACAGGCACATCGTGTATTCATCCCACTGCACCCCAAATGTACAGCATTACACATAACACTAAACTGTGGATGAGATGTTTCGTCATCTTTACTCTCAGGATCGCAACATAGGCACAAGTCTGACACGACCTACTAAATCACAAGTAACATCCACAATAAGGAAAGTCGCAGGCTTCGTTACTAACTAGGCCTCGTATTTACTACAACAACTTCACGGCACCATAAAGGCATTTACATCACTATAACGGTCATTCCAACATTACAACAGCATTGCCAATATTATAGGAATATAAACAAACTTACAGACAATGCTTCTTAAGCTCCCACAATGGACAAGTGCGGCTGTGGTCTCACTGAGATGCGATGCGTGCCGCCATTTTGAATTATGAGTAAGATGGCCGATGCCTGCATGGTTCACTGAAAATCTAACATCGTGACTTCCTGGTCACGTGACCAAAATTAGCATAAAAAACTGGAACTTCCTGTGAACGTACGCTCCACATCTGCCGTGAGGCAAGACAATGTACATGAGATGAACTCTGTTAATCCCACCTTTGGACTTTGGAGCTCATACATTGAAATGGTTCAACTGTTACTGAGTTTCATTAGAGCAACCAGAGACTCTGACTGGAGCCTTCACTTAGCAATAGTGAGACATATGCTGGTATGGTATTTTGCATATGACCGCCAAAATTATGCAATGTACCTATCAGCATATTGGGTCGAGATGATCAATCTTCCAAAGACTCATCCACACTGCTATGAAGAAGTTACTGCAAAAGGAAACTGGACAGTACAGCATAAGGATGCTAACAGGTTCTCATCCATAGCTTGTGACCAAGCAATAGAACAAACCTGCAACCGTGATTCAAAGACCAAAGGCGGCATAACTGGGATAACCTTGAACAGAGGTGCTGTCCACCGATGGATACTGTCTCATCCTGAACGTTCTGCAATCACAAGGCAGTGTGAAATGATGGCTGGAATGCAACATGAAGAGAGGGGTCATAAAGAGTTGGATGCAACAAGAATTGCAAAAGACAATGCTGCTGTTATATCTTTGGTTTCAGCGGTTGAGTCTATGATCAACCCCTTCCTGCCTCGTGAAGATCTTGTATGTATTAGCTCTGGTGTTGTTGTTACAAAGACTGTCAGGGATGACATACAAAGTGCTTGTGATACAGGTGAAACAGCTCTGAAAATTTTCATCCAAGATCGAGTCCAGTCATCAAAAACAGACTTCTTCTCTCCAATAAAGTCCTTGAAGCTCACTACGTTTGGGGATCAAATGAAGAAATCATCCAAGACAAAAGATGGAAATCAAGTCATTCTAAAAAATGACAGGAGACTCTTTGCACGACTGTTAGTGATAAGTCAATCCCGGTCTGTAAACTTGAAAGAGATTCTGACATATTCACTTGGCAATATCTCATCCCCGCTAGCAAGCACTGATGGTTCATTAGCCAAAACAAATAAGGCTGCTCTTCTAGCTTGTTTAGAATCAAAGAACAAGGACTGTCATGTGAACAAGACTGTTGGTGATAATGGTGCCCTACTGATAGATGGCATGGCATTGATCAGGAGTCTCAAGGATATACCAGACACATTTGGTGAGCTTGCTGATGATCTTCTTCAACTTATGATTAAGATGGGTAGAAAGTTCAGTTGTCCAAGGGTCGATTTTGTCATTGATCGCTACCCGGCAGTGAGCATCAAAAATGCTGAACGATCAAGACATGCTGTTGCTGGACAACAATTACTGCAAATATACAGCATCAAGCAGAAGACTCCAAGTCAGTGGACCAAGTTTCTAGCCAGTGGTGAAAATAAAGAAGCCTTGACAGACTTTCTCTTTGAGACATGGAGAACTGTGCCTTTACAAGCAGCTGGAAAAGACATAGCTATCTTTGTGGCACACAGCAATGTATGTCATCAACTCACTCTTAAAGATGGCATTATGTCTGTCAAAGAGGTAGAATCTTTGACTTGTGACCATGAAGAAGCTGACACGAGGCTCCTACTTCATGCAAAACATGCCTGGAGTGAACTTTATAATAAGATAATCATCCAGAGTCCTGACACTGATGTTGCTATCATTTCACTTTCAATAATGGCTAAGCTTCCCTCAGCAAAGATGTACTTTCTGACAGGAACAAAAGACAGGCAAAGAATGTTAGATCTCCAGGCAATTGGTTCTGCTTTGGGTCCTTCACTAACAGAGGCACTGATAGGACTACACACATTCACTGGCTGTGACTCAACTAGTTCCTTTTATGGGAAAGGAAAAGAGAAACCACTAAATATAGTGTCTGGAAATGCACAGTACATCAGTGCAATTGTTGCTCTTGGGAGGCAATTTGAAATGGACAGCACCCCATTTGTGACCACAGAACGTTTTGTGTGTGAGCTGTATGGAGAAAAGGTATCAGATGTTAATTTGGCCAGATACAATAGGTTCTGTGTCCAGGCCTCTTCCAAACAGGCATTACCTCCAACAAAAGATGCACTTACAGAGCACTTCAAGCGTGCTAACTACCAAGCTGCAATCCACAGGAGCATTGGATCCTTTTATAAATGCTCCCAGTCCAGACGGCTTTGGATAGATTTTCAAGGATGGTGATCTCATCATATCATGGATGACTAAAGATCCAGCTCCTCAACAGATTTTAGGGTCACTCCACTGTGGGTGTAAGTCTGGTACTTGTACAGGTGGAAGGTGCTCATGCCACAAGGCTGGCCTGGCCTGCACTGACCTATGTAAATGTGTTCATTGTGACAATGTGAGATTAACTGAGGATATTGTTTCATGTGAATCTGATAGTGAGGACAGTGATCTTGATATTTAGTGATGTGTATATGATAATAAAATTAATATAGGACATATATATTTAATATAAATCAATCAAAATTAAATCTTGTTTACAATAATCATTCCTGTGAATATGTACATGTAGTGCAGTTACTGCTCGTGTATGCGAATTGACAATTCACCATTAAATGTGTTATTTTGAAAAGTGTTTTTTTAATATATTATATTTTGACTTAATTCTATTTGTTATTCAGATTTTACCTCAAATATTACCTTTGAATTGGAACAACATAATGGGAAGTAATTGGGATGTTAATGCTACAGTAGAAGTTTTCTTGATAATCTTATCATGTTTACTGTGCATAGATAGCAACTTCAGGTATATCACACATTTCAAACTGGTTTATTTTGTACTTCAAGTGGTAATTCTGCATTTTTGGGTTTATATGATAAACAGGTTTGAAAGTGCAAAATTCCCTATGGTTTCCCTTTTTTCAAAATGGGCACCTTTAGCATAATTTTTCTCAAAAACTGCAAGGTTGTGTGCGGAGAACTTTTTCCTAAGGAATCTCTATATATTTCTGATGTTAAATATAAAAAAGTAGGTAGTGCCCCACTTGGTGGAACGAAACCCTATTTCTAGGCCTCTTTTAGGCTACCGACAGCGGCCCATAAAGTTAAGAAAAAACCTCCACTTTTTTCAAAATTTCTTGCTGTGGTTTTCACACCTGATGACGATTGCTTGTGTTGCAATCGAAACGTCGTCAGAATTTTATTGTTTTATTTTATTATTTCCCTTCTACATGACTTTACTGAAAGAACTAAGAATATGAATCCCTGCAGTCACGAAAGCTTTAAATCGAGATTTAACCACCTCTACGGGGAGGGTTTCCACATAGCTTTGAGATCCTTCAACAAACTCCGGGATAAGAAGGCTCAGCTGATCGAGTCTCTCACCTTTCTGAAGAGATGCCGCGACTCTGGGGTAAGACCAATCGCATTTACACTGACCTCTGCTGCTGTAACTTCTAATGCGAAACGAATTCTGTCTAGAATTAGCTTAGCTCTTATCTCAGAGAAAATCAGACTTATACGCACCGAACTAGATCAGTTAGACAAGACACTCTACAAATCACACTTATCATTGACGACAACAATGTCCACATCGGATTGGGAACATGTAGACAATATGACTGCCTCTTAAGCTGCCACTGTCGACCAAATGTAAGGACAACTTGATTTCCAAATTCAACCTCCTCTCCAACAAGAGACCGGACCCACACATCGAAAAGCTAGACGTTAACAAAGTCGTAATTAATCGCAGTAATAGTTCTATTTTTGATGGTCTGAAATCCGTTTTAGCTAAAGGGCTAAACTTTGCAGTCACACCTAGACACATACCAGTTAATGATATAATTGCCCAAGTAGATGTGGCTCTCAAGGGCCTGGGTCACATCGCTGCAGACGTAGCAAGATCTGAAATCGCTGCAACCCTCAAACGCTAAGATGCCAGCTAGCAACCTCAGCAAAGATGAGCGTTTTGAATTATCTCAATTTAAAAAGAGGGAAGACATTGTCATCCTCTCAGCCGACAAGTGCAATGCCACTGTCATCATGGATAAAATAGAATATAACATTCAAGAACTACTTAACGATGGCAGCTATACAAAAATAAAAAGAGACCCCACCAACAGCCTCGTCATACAAACCAACAAAATCATTTCTGATTCAACCGCATTAATTGTTCAAACCAAACAGTTCTCGTTGAAATCTTCTGCTGCCAGGCCACCAAAATTATATGGCTTACCAAAGATACATAAAGAAGATACACCCCTTCGTCCAATCGCCACTACTATCAACTACCCCACCTACACACTGGCTCGTTTTTGGTCTGAAAACCTGCGGCTGTTTCACTGGAAAAACCACCTCTGCGGTAAATGGGATAAACTCAGCCACAAAACAGCGACACATTTTTTAGATTTATGTTTATTTGTTGAATTCATTTTACAAGTAATTGTGAAATTATATAAATGCGATTAATTGTTCTCATGGGAAGTGTTCAGCTTCGTGATCCATACTAAAATAAAACTCATGACAAGGTGAGAAATTACTTTCAGTACTTCCGATTGAGGTTGAGCTTCGGATTACATTTTAGATTTTCTCAACTTTAACTTAATATTTTCATGTTGTCTAATTTTAGTTTAGTTCCTTCCATTCATTTAAAAATTACTTCGATTTCAATGAGAACATCTTTTGCTAAATTTGGTTGTGAGAATTTTAATTAAATTCACCAGTGCGGTGAAACAATTGGCGTGTAAAACTCTTGTACACCCCATGACAAGTGCTTTGGGTGTGTCGGATAGTAGAGGCTTTTAAAAAGCACAAATTTGGCCAGATCATCATTGTGGACAAACACAGAAACATATCATGAATGATTACTTTGGCTGTGAAAACCGACACGTTAATTAAATTAACCATTGTAAAGAATAAAAATAACATATCTGTCTGAAAGTATGAGTGAATACAGTAGCATATGTTTGTACATAATTTTGCCCGAAAATTTAAAATGTGGATCAGTGAAAATGAGTCGATACCAAATTTATCATTGCTCAGTCCACCTCATTTTCTCCTTGAGCTTCCACCTTCGTGAGAACACAAACTTGAGTGACGACATCTTCGTCCTTGTCCTGATGCTGATAGATGAAGCCATCACCCACTTCACCGTTTTGTGTGAAACTTTAAACAGAATTAACTTTACCCTCTGCCTTCAGGATGTGGACTTCGGAATCAAGACCTGGTGATGCTGTTTAAAACAATAAAACATATCAGCAAACAATATTCATCACTTTAAATAAACTCATAATAGTAGGTTTTTACCCTTTTAACTGGTACAAAACTGACACCTTTATTCAAGACATCATGTTTGCAATGACCACAACACAAGTAGTCAAAAAAGCAAACAAAAAGAAGCAACTCTGATAAGGATGATAATATGCACTATCATCCTTATCAGAGTTGCTTCTTTTTGTTTGCTTTTTTGACTACTTGTGTTGTGGTCATTGCAAACATGATGTCTTGAATAAAGGTGTCAGTTTTGTACCAGTTAAAAGGGTAAAAACCTACTATTATATTTTGCCACTGGTAAAAGAGATCTCATAGTTTAAATAAACTCCTTAAAAAAAGTTATTTTTTAACAACGGTTTTATTCACAACTGGTGCGCCTGAGACACGTGGCGCCTGGTTCTTGGGCGAGGCGATTCGAGAGTTTAGGGACCGCGGCGTTTTAGACCTACACAAATATATATGTAAATAATAAGGCGTTCATACAAAATGTAAATTGCTTTAAAGTAGCGAATTAATTGATTGATGCCGATTTTTGATACATGCATGCATTGTCACCGGATCTGAGTACGTGTGCAAAATTGGAATTGATTGAACAGGAAGTAAACTAAATTTTGATTAAAAGATTTGACCACGATACAGGAGTCAAGTTAAGTAAAACCGTTGAAAAAAAACTAAGTGTTTGTCTTTTTATAAAGGTGTTGGGTGGTGACGTGGCCCAGGGGTAGCACGTTCACCTCTTGTTGCAGGGGTTCATGATTTGAATCCAGAAGGCTGCCCTGGTTACCACTGCAGATATATCAACCATAAAATATTCGCCATTTGCTTCATAGCAGACGTTAAAGATCCCCTGTCACCATTTACAAAGAGTAGGCCACTGTGCCGACGTCATGATCCAAGTTTACCAAATTATACAAATAACCTGAAAATCACTCAATTGGGATTACACGCGGCAACATGTGGCCCTACTGTGACAGTGCTGCAGACTGTGAAACACAGTGCCGTCGTGATAGCCTTGAGACAGTAACAGTGCAAAAGCTAAGTAATGATTATTTTTACCTGATTCATGACTTATTGGTGAAATATCGCTGCTGCTGACATTTTCACTGCTTCCAGTAAGATTGTCGGTGTTGTCCCTTGGCTGCAGTTGTTGCTCTTTATTTGTTGCCGCGTTGACGTCCTGAGATATCATTGTTGAAGAAATTGTTGTTCCAGTCGAAGTAGATGGCTTCAATGCCAGCTGCCAGCTCGGCAGAATGGCTGCTGGATTCGGGGGACACGGGAACTGCTTTCTAAGTGAGACACGAAAACAGCAATGTGTGAACACCTCAACAATGTGGGCGCCTGTCTATGTTAAGTCAGTATTTTCTCCCTCTGTTCTGCATGGGTTTCCACCAGATTCTCTGGTTTCCTACCAGAGATAAAAAAAACAATGTAACTGGGATTGGTTAAACATCCCAATGCAAAACCTGCAAATTACTTGGGATTCCGCATCGCAACATGGACTATTAATGCAAAAAACTTGGCCGAACTCTCCTGAAAGAGAGCCTCAATGACGCTCTCCTGGTTGAACAAGCGGATTAATAATAAATTAATCATCAATACGGAGCAAGGGCCGGCTTAAAAGCCGTGAACGAAGCGGCTCGTTTTCATTCCGGCAGCCATCGACACACTCCTACAGATGCTCGCGTGTGCGGCTAGGACTGCATCAAGAAACAGCCAATTTTGGGTTGCTCTTAACATTCGGGAGGTTTGGCAACATACCTTCCCAGCATGAGACCTTTAATGGAGGCTATTTCTGTTCGAAGATCTGAAAGCAATGGACCACTGGCCTGCATACACACATGAAAAGACAACAATCCCTAGTTTAGCCCCTTAAAATATTTAGACAAGTTAGCACCTATTAAGGCAGGTACAGATCACACCTAGCCCATACAGTGTCTGTGGTTGTGAGGGTGGTGACAGATGTAAGGATCTACAGTCATTGATGTTGGAAGTGCAAAATATGCGTGTCTGGGTAAATTTTGCTGGAAGGCTTCTGGCAAACGGAAACATGTCAGGCGGTGCCATGTACATATTATTGCCTGAGTATTTTGTTTTATTTAAACTTTCTTGATTTGAAGCTTTCATGACTGCAGGAATCTATACTCTTTGGTTCTTTCAGTAAAGTCACGTAGGTATAAAATAAAATAAATCACGTTTCGGGTGCAACAAGCGTCCGTCATCAGGTAGGAAAGCATGATCTGCTGAGGCAGACTGTTCTAAAATATTTGAAATGGGTGTAGCGCAAGGGTCATAAAGAAGTGGGCGGGGCTAGTGATGTTAATGTCAGAAATTAGCATGTAACTAAGAACGGAGAGCGGCCTCCTCAACGAGGGCACAGAAGTGGCTATGATAATGCGAGAGATTAGCATGTTAATGTAAGAATGAAGAGTGTGTAATCCAAAGGCATGAGAGTGCAATCCAAAGGACATGTGAGCATGAGTGCAATCCAACGGCATGGGAGTGCAATGCAAAGGACATGTGAGCATGAGAAATCTTAGAGAGAGACAGAGTCGGAAATAACAGCTGACATAGGTAGGTAGGATGGAAACATCACAGTCAGTTAAGACTTTACCTGGTTAATAACGTCCTTCCAATGATTGCTCAATTTGTACCCATCTTCTCGGTTGAAGTTGTGTCTGTGTTTATATATCTGGATGGCTTCATGAACAAATCTCTGAAGGTAGCCAGTAGGTTTGCAGAGTACCTCCGTCTTGGAAAAATCAATTTCGTGAGCCCACAGCGTTAAAACACAATGATCATCAACGGCATAGGTATTGGGTCCTACTGTGTTTCAGATGTGCCTTGTGTTCATGAACGCGGTCCGAGACATGTCGTTTCGTTTCCCCAATGTAACTGCTGACGGAAATCGGGCCAATTTGTAAGTGGGTGAGTTAATGGTGGAGACGATAGGACGGAGCGGGGTACCTACTTTGTGGATTTTTGGAAGGCCATAAAATCTGGGTAGTCTAGCAGCTGAAGGTTTTAGGGAGTTCTGCTTGGTCTGATCCATTAGAGAAGTCGATTATTTATACTTGTTTATTCAAGAAAGCTTCAGTCTTAAGACTCTTTTTCAGGAGGATTCTGCCAAGTTTTCGCAGTAGGAGGCATGATGCTGCCGTGTATAATCCCAATTGAGTAGTTTGCAGGTAATTTTTCAGCACTGCCACGTTCTGACCACTACCAATTACATTATGGGAGGACATCAGAGGAAATGGAGGAACCCATGCAGAACAGAGGGAGAACATACAAACGCCACACAGAAATGTACCTGAGTAGCGAATCAAACCCAGGCGCATACTTGCTGTGAGGGGACGAATGTGACCACTTCACCACCTTCCTTCATACGATGAGTGTTCGCACGTTTTACCTTGGATACAGCGGTGTCATCTGTCAGCCGCTCCAACTGTTTTTGTTGACGTGACAACAGCTCGTGGGTCCCTGCGACACTTGTCTGTAGTTGTGTCACTAAACACATTATACAAACATCTTAAGCCACATGTATAGTGTTATTGCATTTATTTTCATTTACGCTTGTTTACCCTGGAAACCCTCATTGGATCTCAATACTCTTTTTCAGGAGGGTCCTGCCAAGTGCTCGCATGTCGGGAACAATGTTGCTCTGTGTAAACCCAATTAAGTGATTTGTACGTGATTTTTCATCATTGCCATGTTTGGCCAATACCAATTATAATTATTAATGACATAAATAATAAAGCCAGCAAGTCATAGGACTCTTTTCAGGCTCCTGCATTTGGGTTTTATTAGAAAATGTTTTCAGCCAATTAATGAGTGTTTATACAAGTGGGAGGAAATCCGATTCGCACGGTTGGCTATGAACGGGGTGAAAGAAGTTCAACATGCATACATACAAATCAAAGACCTCAGAGCAAACCCAAGCAGAATAGAGGGAGAACAAACGGCACAGAGAAAGGCACCCGAGTTGGGAATCGAAATCAAGGACCCGTCTTGCTGTGAAGCACAACTGTTACCACAGCACCACCACCCTGCCGCCCAGGTGAAGTGACTTGAGTATTATTTCTAGACAGATGGCAGATGCTAATGAATAATTCTGGCAGCAGGGCAGCACAGTGGTGACATTCGTGCCTCGCAGCACGAAGGTCCGAGGTTCGATTCCCAACTTCGGTGCCTTTCTGTGTGGAGTTTCTCCGTCCTCATGTTCTGCATTGATGTCCTCTGGGTTCTCTGGTTTGGTGCTGGCCGAGCTAAAAAAATACATATGAAATGTAGCTCTCAGAGACACCGTCTTGTTCAGTTATATATGTATTTATTATGAATAAAGTCCGCCGACTCACTGATAACTTAACGAGTAACTATATACACTTGGGTAACTTAGATAACTCTATTCTGAGACAACATATCGCTAGTCTTCCAACACTACAAGGTGTCCACTCCTGGATGATGAACACGACCCGCTCCTAGGTGACGACGGCGACGACAATTCCCCTACAACAGCAGCCCAGCATTCCGGTTCACGCCGGCTCTTATCCCCCTCACGACCCGGCTACGCCCCTATTCCCGAACCCTCTCTTACCGCACCTGGCCCTGTCCGTCTCTGCCCTTAATACAATTTACTATCGTTAGGTCCCATGCTTCCCCTCACGCGACCTTGTCAACGCTTGTCCCATCAATCATCATTAGCAACCACTTAGGTCCCACATTACCCGAACATGACCCTGTCTGTTCCCGTTACGGCCACGGGGAGCTGTACTGTCCCTACATAACCCCGTACTGTCCTTACACATGCGATGTAATTGGTGTTAAACAACCCAATACTGAACAATCCAATACTGAAGGAGACCTGCAAATTACTTAACTGGGATAACATACAGCAACACCCCCTATTACAAAACAACTTGGCAGGACCCTACTAAAAAAAGAGTACCGGAGGTATCCCTCGATTTCCAAACTTTTGTTTACGAAATTTGCTGTAAATTATGGACACTTTTCGATTAACGAAATCGAATTTCCACAATAAAAGTTAATTATTTAGATTTAAATTAATTATCGAATCATTTTTATATTTATGTCCTTTAATACCATTTTCGTGTTATATTTTTAGGTTAAGGAATACAATTGGAATGAAACACATCCCTAAATTTATGGGAAAAGCCATTCCGATTAATTCAATTTAATTTTACATGTGTTTTTGATGAACGGCTCCCTCTCATAAATCGAGGGATACCTGTACTAGGCCTCACAGTGAGGCTTTCCTGGGTAAACAAGCGTCGTAACCCTAACACATCACATTGACCTGTAAAAAATGTAATGGGGCTCGGGGAGAACATGTTGCTGTAAAGAACGATGGCCGAAAGTCAGAATGGCAGCGAAAGGAACACAGCCGGAAGGAGATGAAGCCAGATCAACTTGAGTACAGGAAATAGACAGACTCGCATCGCAGGACTCTAAGGCATGGTGACGGTTTGTGGAGGCCTTCATCCAGCAGTATAGTAACATAGCTGATGATGGTTATGGCAACTACTGTAGGTAAATGTGAATTACAAGCGCTTTAACGGTTGGATGCAATGGACGATTGTGCATTGCTATGCTTATGCACGCACCAGCGTGGGTGAGTGAAGCGGCCATTGCAGAGACAGTGGATTCCACATCAGTGAGACGCTGGGCTTCTGCAGCACGAACAGCCGCCAGCCACTAAGCACGCACAAGTCGGTCGATACAAGCACAGAAGCAAGACACCCATTGCTGCAGAGAGTAAACAATTCTCATATTTAGCTTTCCTGTGCAAAATGCGAACAAATTAATGTTTCGAGATGACGTAAGATGATTGTACCTTGCGCTAATATGAAAAATGGGTGGATGATTTTCGTAAATAACACTTTCACTGCAAAAATATCACTTGAACAATGAATAACTTATAGTAGTAGGTTTTTACCCTTTTAAACTGGTACAAAACTGACACCTTTATAGTTTTGTACCAGTTTAAAAGGGTAAAAACCTACTACTATATTTTGCCACTGGTAAAAGAGATCTCATAGTGTGAATGGATAACTTCACACATAGTAAATATACCTGCTCTGTATGCTTCGTATAACATTCGCCACAAACGTGTTGTGTATTACGTAGGATACCTGAAATCGCCTCTAATCTCGACAGCCTCACATGAGTGCAAGTGCTCGTTATCTATGCATGCCTTGTACAGCCGGTTGATGCCGAAGCCGATAGCCGCAATGACAGCTGACAGAGCGCCCACGTCCCTCCAGCGCCAAGCTGGTGAGCAAAGTAATTGTAAGCACCTGAGATTCAACAAGTAGTTAGCTACTCTCAAGGCTCTCATACTTTTTGAGTTCCAGAGACAGAATCAGAGTAGAGTTGACAACACAAGGACTCTGAGAGAGCCCTGTGCGTGCAGGCCAAGTGGAATGGTCGTGACAGAAGGTTCCACTCACAGTGCCGTGATGCTGGTGGTCCTGCAGGAGACTGGGCCAAATGTTGCGCATGAGTGAGGCTGGTTCCTCCATGCACCCCAGCCCGCAGAAACACATCCTCTATCTCCACGTCTGTCAGACCTAGACACAAAAAAAACAAAAATATACAGAAGTGAGATGTACATCATGTGAATGTTTAAGATTTTTAGTGAGATCCAAAATCCTACAGAAATTTTTATAATTACTGGTCATTAACACGCAGGTTTTTCGCCGGTATAGTGAGTCCAACTGAGTAGCAGGCTAGATTTGAAGTTTTCGTGACTGCAAGGATCCACACTCTTTGGTTTTTTTGGTAAAGTCACGTAGGTGAAAACAAAAAAAAATAAAACTAAATTGAATCACGTTTCAGAAGCAACACAAACATCCGTCATCAGGTGTGACCGCTCCAGCAAAATTACTGTAGCGTATGAAGAGCTATTTAGAGACACATGTATATATAGGCTAATAAGGGGGAGGAGGAGCCAAGGGGTGGGGGGGGGCAGGCCGTGTGCCGTCGCGGGCGGTTGGGCAGGGGATTAGCATGAGTTAAGCCGATAGATAACCATCTTTTTTCTTTGTGATGCCAGGGGGGGGGGGGGAACGGGGGGGAGGGAGAGGAGAGTGGGATGGGGGGGACAATTTTTTGCGCTATTGAAACACTGTTGTACATTAAAATTTCTTAGTGATGGTAGTGTATCAGGCTGGGAGTAAAAGACTGGAAATATGGATATGGCTGTAAAATTATAAGGCAGCTAAAGTTTGACTTGGTTGATGACATCCTTCCAATGATTGCTTAATTTGAAACCATCCTCTCGGTTGAAGTTGTGTCTATGTTTGTATATCTGGATGACTTCATGGACAAATCTTTGGTAGTATCCAGACGGCTTGCAGAGTACTTTGGTATCGGAGAAAACAATATCATGAGAACCTGCTGCGTTGAAACAATGATCAGCTACGGCAGAAGAATTCGTCCTACCGTGTTTTAAATCTGACTTGTGCTCGTGATTTATTTATTATAATATGCCTCCATCTAATCTGTTTTCTTACATCACACGACTATGCCCCCGTATTATAGACTGCCATAGACAGACCCCAACATTGAATTATACACCGCGTTACTATAGACTATAATATTAGACTTGTAATATTGCACTATGTATCATTCTACCAACCCTATTGTATACCACACTGCTGTATATTCACTATGCAATTACGATACTATATATTACCTCATGAATTATATTAAACATTACACTGTTATACTATTTATTATACAATCTTCTATAAACCATACCATTGACCGTCGCGTGAAAGGTACTAAGAGGCAATGCCAGCGAATGGACTGCAGTCTGAAAGTCACCGTAAAACAAAATCAATCAAAACCCAAAATGATTTATCACGTCCTTCCAATGATTGCTGAGTCAGAATCCATCTTCTCAATTGAAATTGAACGAATCTCTCATGGTAGATTAGTTCGAGGCAATCCACATATTCCTGGATTTGAAGCTTTCGTGACTGCAAGAATTCACTCTTATGTTTTTTTGGTAGTCACGTAGGTAAAAATAAATAAAAATAAATACATAATAAAAATAATAGAAATAAAATAAGAAATCACGTTTCGGAGGCAACACAAGCTTCCTTCATCAGGTGTAAAAAGGCACAGCAAAATAACTGCAGGGTGGGGGGGGGTTTGGGGTGTGGGTGGAGCCAGGAAGGTGATCCTAGAGGACAAGTGCAACGGATGGTAGAGGTGCAGGATGGGGGGGGGGGTGTGGAGCCAGGAAGGTGATCCTAGAGTTGAGAGGGGGAGGGGCTTGTCTGAATGTGGCAGCCAGGATGATGGTCCTCGGGGGCGGTGCTAAAAGAGAACAATGTTGCACATCAGCTCATGGTTGTGGCCGGTGTTAGCTGATATTAAGCATAAAAATAAGCAATACTGGTAAACGCTGGGGATGTCAACACTCGGTAAAGTAGTTCAAGACTTGGTCCAACATGGATTGAATTTGGATGTACCTGCGCTGGTTAGGCATTGCTCACCAAGACTTATTTTACTTGGAATGGCACCTTCTACAAACAGAATGAGGGTACCTCTTCTATGGGCTCCCCCTTGTCACCAGTGACAGCCAATGTGTTCATGGAAAAGTTTGAATCAGACGCCATCCAGACGTCCACCCTGCATCCTTTCCCTGTGGAAAAGGTATGTGGATGATACTTTCGTCATTTGGCCACATGGCCTCCCAGCATTGAACCACTTCCTGGACCACATCAATTCCAGACACCCATCCATCAGATTCACCATGGAAGTGGAGAGAGATGGCAAACTACCATTCTTAGATATTCTGTTTGAGAGAAGACCAGATGGATCCTTGGGACATTCTGTCTACAGGAAAGCCACCCACACAGATTCCTACTTGAAACCTGATTCCCACCACCACCAGTCTCAAAATAATTCTCTCATCAAAACACTATACCACAGAGCTCATGGCATTTCTGACCAACACCACCTGGCCAGTGAATTGAGACATGTACATCGGGCCCTCAGGATGAACGGATACTCTGACCGCACCATCCGCCAAGCTGTTATATAGAAACAGCCACTTGAAACTCCGATCAAAACTATCACGTTGCCATACATAGCAGGCGTGACCAAAAAGATCTCCAAAATTCTAAACAAACATAAGATCCAAGTCCGATTCAGTACAGTACATAAAATCCGTGAGAGATTATATTGAGTATATTGATGTAGTTAATATTTTAGTTTTTTATCGGTTCACTATATGATAGTCATTATATAGTGTATTGTATACCCAGTTACTTAATGTTAATAGCTCAGCTTATTGGAGAATATATTGAGTACATTGATTATATGGATGTAGTTTATATTTAGATCTTTCACATCGGTTTATTGTATGATAGTGGGTGTTGCGGTTCTTTAGCGTCAATATACTAAATGCCTCTGTTGATATGTAAACTTTGACTTTAACATAGCCACTTCCGTGACCGTTACATGCCAATTCCTCACATTAACATCATGCTAATCTCCCAGTTACATGCCAATTTCTGACTTTAACATCCTGCTAATTCTCTCACATTATCACAGCTTATTCAATGCTAAATTCTTCTGTTGATATGGAAACTTCTTTGTCAAGGCGCTCTTCTCCTCCCACCCAGCTTAAAATATGCTGCCAAGCTTAGCAATGTTCATTGGAGCGCTGTCTTTCAGACAGCTCTGTCTTCACCTGAGGACGGCTGCTTGTGTTGTGGCCAAAACGTCGTGAGAATTTTATTTTATTATGTTTATTTTTATTATTTCCTTTCTATGTGACTTTACTGAAAGAACCAATAAGATTAATCCCTGCAGTCACGAAAGCTTTAAATCGAAATCCACCCAGTGCTGTCCGCGACGTAGGAACATCGCACAGTGACATCCCTAATGTCACTACACAGGTAATATTACGATTCATAATCTTATTGTTGAGTTCGGCCACGTTATGGTAGGACCAAATTTGTGTCATTCAGACACTCCATCACCTATCAAAGTCAAAGAAAGTAAACTGTCACGTGAACAAGTGTTAATTACGTGGTCACGTGAAATCTAATTGGTACATTTGTGTTTAACTTATAGGTGAACTGAAAAAAATATTGACGCGTAAAATACTTGTACACGTGATCATGAAATGTGTTTGGCTATGTTGAGTGGTGGAGGGTCTTAAGACAAATTTGGTAAGATCACGTGAATTAATTGGTTAATTGTGAATTGCCATAAATGCATTATAATTAACCTTTGTATAGTGGACTTATTTTGTTTATAAATGTTTAGAAATTTACAGGAAATATTTTGGACATTTAAATACTGTACGCGCAGTAGTTTGGAGACTTTTATCAGCCTGCCAGAAGATCTCCTCGTGACGGTGACGCAGGCTACACGAGGGGTCGGCACCCTAAATGACAAGAGCCATTTTTTCCGGTCCTTAATAAATAACGTCACAAAACAGTACTTATGTAATGCGGTTGTAAACGGCCCTTCTGAGGTGCCGTCAGGGGGGGAGGAGTTAGGTCACGTGGGGGGAGAGGGGTTGAGTATAGAAGGAGGGGAACCGGAAGAGCAGAGGGAGTGACTGGGAGCCAGGAACAGAGGAAGGCCACGTAGGGCGAAGCGGGGTGTGGCGAGATCGCCACGAACACGGGGGAAGCGAGGATCGGCACCGTTGGCCAGCGGTGACCGACCCGAAGCAGCAAGGAGGCTGCAGTCAGCAGCGGGGCTGCACAGAGAGAGTGGGCAGCGGGTCTGCATACAGTGACAGCCAGAGGGTCTGCACATAGGGGTAGCAGCAAGTCTGCAGGGAGGAGGTTACAGTAGATGAAGCAGAGAGTCAGAGGGGTGAGGAAGCTATAATAGCAGTGAATAGCCGGGGGCTACAAATACAGGAGTTATAACAGAGTGCCGTGTGGGTAAAGACGTGAACCTGAATAAAGACACGAAGACAGAAAGAAGTGTTCGAGTCCTTTTATTACACTGGAGTCAGAAGTGAAACGGCATGGCGAAACAACTGAGGAAGAAGAATATCCCATCTCCGGCGTCGGCTTCATCATCGGACGACGACGATCTTCCTCCTGAGGTCGGCTTCACTTCGGCGGAGGGAGAGATCCGTGAGGGCCCGGGTGTGGAGGAGGTTGCCGCTGCGCCCGACCCATCTGCGTTGAAGGACGAAGATTTAAGATGGACCCGGATGGCGGAGCAACTGGCGACCCTAAAAACCGTCATCACGGAGTTGTGTGACCTTGTCACGCCAAGGGCGGCGTTGGAAGGTGATGGTGGTGATCGGCAGGAGCCCGGGTCGTCTTCGATGGCGCCGCCATTGACCACGCGGCGTGAAGACGCCATCTTGGGCGTGGCGCACCACGGAAGGCGGGAAGCCGCCATCTTGGGGCCGCCACGAAGATCGTCCGCCATCTTGGCGACACCGCGTTGCGACGCCTTGCTGAACTTGCCGCCGGAAGAGTCGGTGACGGACGGAAGCAGGCCAAGGAGCCGCAGTCGTCACCTTACAACTGTTAAGGAGTTCTCCATCGGGGGCGATTGGAGTGCGTTCGCTTGTCGA